CAGGTTCCGGCTGGGTATGCAGTGCATACGTAGAAACAAAGGAAGACTAAGCCGCATGCGTCACAAAAATAAGATAAACCATGATGATCCTCAATAATCAGCAGGAATTGAAAAAAGTTTCAGATTTCTATCCCAATTGGAAGGAAATTCAGTTACCAGTTGAATTGTTGATAATAAACTCAATTACTCAATCCCCATGGTGGTCAACATAATCGAACTTAAAATCAAAACATGTTTAACAGTGATTAGGCAATGCGACGGATCAAGACTTATGGCGGTTAATCAAATAATTTTCACATGTTCAACCAGGAAAACTCCTAGAATGTGGTATGAGTATTGAGAACAGACATAAAATCGAAGAAAGGAAGCAACCTGGGTTGGAGAGGCAAGCAGGACTGCGCATAAACACAGAGAAATCAGTGCGGCGTTTTGGTGGTGTCCTTCGACGCTGTTGAGAATGTTTTGGAATACAATCAGTTGGGACTATCTTTAGGCCCTTCTTCTCAGGTGTCCTTCTCTTCTTTGCCATTGCCCCGAATGGAAGTATCGGTCGGTAGAGAGTAGAGGCAGGGAGGCCAAAAAGTTTCTCAAGGAAAACAGAGGAACCCTAGACCAAGAATAGAGAGACACGGTGTGTTTGATCAATGAGAATAGAATGTGGCAATTGGCAGCATAAAACATTCGACGACAGCTTGAATTTAAAATTCGCCGCCTTCGATGGTTATCCTAATCTCACTTGCTTTGTACATTCCGAGCGTCAAGCGGAATTGTCCCCCTGAAATCTTCCACTACCGACCTAACCACATCCCCGACCTGGCAGATAGAAAACTGCTGATGTTTCACAACTAGGAATGTTGACACTATTCTTTCCTTTTATTCATCTGACGAATTAAAAACAGTCTTTTCCCTTTCCTCTTTTTATTATTTAGTGTCTTGAACAGTTGCTAAACTGCCAATTAGGCGTTTGGCAATAGCGAGGCGCGGGTTTTGAAAAGGAGGTCCCTCCGTCTAATCCACCGGGTGGTGGGGCAGGCATTGCTAGTTGAAACTTTTTGCCAACGCCAGTTCGAACTTGAGACGTGAGGATATCCTTGTTGATGCCCGAGAAAGTACTTTGACCTTCTTTTTTCTTTTTTTGTTGGGAGAGACAGCCAATTATTTTATAATTAAAGTGCATCCAGCACCCCCAAGTATTTTGTCAGGTGCACCCAATGGTCTAAAGTAATTTATGGTACAGTTTTGCCCTCAAAGTAATTAAAATGGTGTACCGGTATCCTATGCTAACAGATCTGTTACTTTGACCGTTAAATTGATGAGTCAGCACAAGTTTGACCAAAATAATCTGACATGGCATGTCTAATAAGCAGGTGATGTGGAATTTTTTTGGGGGTTAAGGTGCATCCAGCACTTGCAAATATTTTTTCAGTTGCACCCAGTGGCCTAAAGTAATTTATGGTGCAATTTTGCCCTCAAAGTAATTAAAATGGTGCACCGGTATCCTATGCTAACAGATCTGTTACTTTGACTGTGAAATTGATGAGTCAGCACAAGTTTGACCAAAATAATCTACCTGGCATGTCTAATAAGCAGGTGATGTGGATTTTTTTTTGTCTGCCACTGCTTTGTTTTCTTTGTTCAGTAAATGCTCTCTTCGGCTCTTGGAATTTTTTTCATAGTAAGAAATTTTTTCAGAGATACTCCTCTGGTCCTATTTATAAGGTAGAGAGAGTAGATATTTTTTGGTCCTATTTATAAAGCATTGAGAGAAATTTTTTGTATGGATGTACAAATTTATCCCTCATTTATTATTGTATTGACTTTGTTTACATGAGGTATAATGTATATTAAATAGAGATAAAGTTGAAAAGTTATTAAAATTTAAATGAGAGTTGATGAAATTTAAGGTTTTCCTTTGTCTGTGTGAAACATGCTGGAAGTGCCTTATAAATAGAACCAGATGAGTAATATTCAAACAAAACAATGGAATTAACGAGAAAAGCCATGTCACCTGCTTATTAAACATGCCAGGTCAGATTATTTTGGTCAAACTTGTGCTGACTCATCAATTTCACAGTCAAAGTAACAGATATGTTAGCATAGGATACCAATGCACCCTTTTAATGACTTTGAGGGCAAAATTGCACCATAAATTACTTTAGGCCACTGGGTGCAACTGAAAAAATATTTGCAAGTGCTGGATGCACCTTAACCCCCAAAAAAATTCACATCACCTGCTTATTAGACATGCCACGTCAGATTATTTTGGTCAAACTTGTGCTGACTCATCAATTTAACGATCAAAGTAACAGATCTATTAGCATAGGATACCGGTGTACCATTTTAATTACTTTGAGGGTAAAATTGCACAATAAATTACTTTAGGCCATTGGGTGCACCTGACAAAATACTTGGGGGTGCTGGGTGCACCTTAACCCATTATTTTATTGTCATTTTAAAAGATATTCTATTATAAATATAAAACTCATTTTATAGTGTAAATCTTTTGATTCTACATATAAAACCCCCTTTATAGTACTACCTCCGGTCCTTATTAAGACCCTGTTTGACTTTTATTTTGGTCCTAAATATAAGATCCTGATCTACTTTATCTCTCATGTTTATCCACTTTTTTCATGATAATCATTTTAATAATAGTAGTTATAAATAACAAACTTGACTAGCAAGGATATTTTAGGAAAAACAACACCTATTCATTACAAATAACTAATTAACTAAGTTCATTAATCTCCCCAAATTAGTCAACTAGATCTTATAATTAAGACCGAAGGTAGTACAAATTATACTGCATGGTAGGTCTTATTTGTATTTAGGACTAGAGGATGAGTAGTAAACTAAGTAACGTAAAACCTAATTAACTAATTTAGAAAAGTATTTATTATTTTTTAAAACTAATTAGAGATAAGAGTTTCCTCCAATCCTATATATAAGCTTCACTTTTGGATAAGAGTCTAATTCAAAATATACACTTTATTTTTGAGTTTGTTTGAACATTTAGTACTTTTTTTTTTTATTTTGCCCTTCATTGATTGTATTCCTCTATCTCATTAATATTATCACATATAGTATCTTTACGTCACTTTTTTATTTATTGCCTCTTTTATTTACTCTCTTAATAAATAAAAACAAATTTAAGGAAAAAAAATACATTTCTAACATATTTATTATTTTTAACCATTCCCTCAATCTTATATATTAGCTTCACTTCTAGAGGTGGGATTGGTCTAAAATATAAGCTTTATTTTTTAATTTTTCTGAGTATTTATTACTTTTTCTATTTTGCTCTTAGTTGATTGTATTTAGTATTCTCTCTTATTAATATTATCTATGTGTATTCTCTTTCATTATTTTTTATTTATCATCTCTCATATACTCTTTTAATAAATAATGGCAACTAACTTATTTATTATTTTTAACTAATTTTAACTGCTGATTCATTAAATATCATTTGGTTATTTAAAGCTTGTATATAGGACCGGAAGGAGTAATTTAAATGGCTAGTTCGATAAAGGTGTGACTCCATTATTTGAAACTTATATATAGGATTGGGTGGAGCATAATGGAGTGAACAAAAACAAATAGTTAGAGTATTTTTATCATTAAATTAAATTTTCCGGGACATTAATGAGTACAAGTAAAAGCTAATGGGCTAGTGTTTCTTTTACTGCTAAAAACAAATATTTCTTATATATGAGGCCGAAAGGAGTAATTTAAAATGCCACTTCATTAAACATGATCCAGTTATTTAAAATTTATATACAGGATTGAATGGGGCATAATGGAGTGAACAAAAACAAATGGCTAGAGTATTTTTGTCGTTAAATTAATTTTTCCGGGACATTAATGAGTACAAATAAAAGCTAATGGGCTAATGTTTCTTTTACTGCTAAAAGTCCAAAACATCATTTTAGATTGATAAGTAACAACATATTATATATATATATATAATGAATTATTTTATTAAATATCAATTAAATATAATAGTTGAATATTCAGTGATTTAGATATCATTGTTTACAAATAGTCACACACAGTTACAAACGTAGTCATGTGATCCATAACAATGATCTTACACTTTTGGTGCCAAGAAAAAACATCTTATGCTTTTTAATGAATGTTCTTAAAGATATAAATTTTATAATTGTACAAAAAATGATATTGTGCTATTGTATTTCTATTCATGTTATTATGACTCCTGAACTTTTTTTTTTTTTGTTCTGCCAACCATTATGATTCTTAACTGGGTCTTTATGCGATTGAAGATTAACGATAAATGTACGCGATGCTGTGGGTGATGATTGATATAATTAGCATTCTTTATTTATCGTCTCCGATTTTCTTTTATTTTGTCAACATTTTTAATATTTCGCTCTTTTGTTCACAAACATATTTCACTCTATTTTACCATGATACAGCGAATTTTCTTTTTTCATTTATTACCACCTTCACTCATTAACATAAAGGTTAGTTTACTAATTTGAATATATTAAAAAAACTTGTTAAGTTGACTGTTTATAATAAATATTTGTTATCCTTCCTAACATACTTTTGTTAACCACGTGTATTAACTAGAATTACCACTTAATAGGATATTTAATATATGCAACTAATACAAAGATTATTTTAAAAAATAGATAAATATAAAAGACAAAGTGAATCGAAGTCTTATATTTAAGACCAAATTGATATTTATATTGGGGTCCAGAGCTAATATTACTCCCTGTAATCCTTATTATAAGATTCAAATAATTAATTCATGGATAACAAATTGTTAGTAAAAAAATAGTTAAACATATAATTTTATTTTCAAATATGCCCTTACAATAAATGAGAAAAACAAAGAATAAGCTTATAAAATGAAACATATTTCTTTCTAAATTTAAAGTTTATAAATATAATGAGCGAGTATTTAACTATTTATTAATATTTATTAATATCAGCCGTCGATGTGATCACTAGCTGGCCGTACGAGAGTCAAGGGTCTATACAGGACAGAAAGTGATGTCATAACTATCAGCCCCTTTACACTGATACCTGGGAGGTTTATGATCGCCGGGATAGGTGTGGGCCATGCTACACAATTCCTTGTTCCTCTGAGAGTACTCATCGGGCTGGCAGCTACTATCGCTGCAGCAAAATTTGGGATCCTTCAACGCATCACACGCACTGTAACATCCTACGTATCGACCCTCCTTGTTCGCCGCTACCAAAAATGAAGGGCACACGTCCTTAAGATCTCTGGCACAGTCCACGACCGGGCAAGGGCCGGATCCGTCCACCAGTGTCCCTCCACTGGGCTGGATCCGAACCCGCATGTTCTGCCCGTGGACTAGGCTCACTTCGTAGGATACGACCGGGTTGTTGATGTCGAAGTTGAGGAGAGTCACCGGGTAAGCGGGTTGGGGACCCGCGCAGAACAGTTTGCCGGTGCCGCAATCCCCGGTTTGGCATGAGAAGTAGAAGGAGGCATTGTTGGAGCACTGGGTCCGAGCCCAAATGGAGCCGGTCCAGCGATCGTCCATGCTGTAAGTTGTGTGGACGTCCGGTGGAAGTTCTGGCTCCGCATCCAACATGTCGGTGCTTGCGGCGCGCCATATGGTGTAGGGACACTGGTTCGTAAAATGAAATTTCACATCACAACGCCCTCCTGCATATTACAACACGGATGAGATCGGAGTCTTTATTGCATAGTAGCAGATGAGATCTTGTGGATAAAAACCAGGAGAGGTGGAGGGGGATATGAGTATGAGGGGGATCCAATAATCTTTAAAGCCTTCTTACTTCACAGTAAAAGGACTGTGTAGTAGAGACTCTGAATTATGCTTGGAATGAAGCGATGAACAAGGAAGGAATTACTGTTTAGGACTGAAGCGGAAAACAAGAAAGAAGAGCAAAACCTGGAAAGAGTAAGAGTAACGGCACCAGAAACTTGAAAAGAGCTGTGTTGGTGGCCATGATATGATCGATATCTCTCTTGATAACGGTATTCATAATGGGGATGATGACGATGGTATTTATACAGACAAACACAAACAATTATATGCGGGAGGATTTGTGTCACAAGCGTCGCATCCAATAATTAATAATGATATTTGTCAACGTTAATATATAATTATAGATGATTGGATTATAATCAATTTGTGATTTCCCATTCATGATAATTTCTTATTTTATTTAGACTAATCATTATATATTTATTGTGATTGTTATTATTTATTATAGATTGCTTTAGTATATCGATCATTCATTCTTATTTTAGTATATATAAGCTCATATTAATCTGTGCTTATATTTTTATTCAATTTTGAATCAGATGCAAATTGGCCCTCATAAATAGTTATGCGTCCATTCCTGCACTTTGATTTCCAATGATCAACAGAGCTTCAAACCTCGTTTGAAATACGTGCCATGTAGAGGATGACAATATGGCTTGAAGGACTTGGGCCAAATATTTGAAGAGAGCACGGTCGTGCTCGAGATCTGTGAGTTAATGCCTGTCAAGGAGGAGGGAAAAGGGAGCTTTTGTGAAATCCGATTAGGTAACAGTTGAGGGATTTCCAGCAACGAGATTCTCTTCGTGTATATGAGTTTAGCGGGCGGGCGGGCGGAGCCAAAGTTGAACCCAAATCCATCAGGTGGAAGATCCGTTCTGAGCGAGCAACAGACCAGGCAAAGTGGAAGATCTAAGGGCAACCATGAAAGAAAGGAAAAGGTCAGCAAGAAACTACAAATTTGTCAAGCAAGAAAGCAAAGAATATTTAGTTAGGACTTAGGAGTATAGCTGAAAAAATAAATTAGACCCGGGGAGTTTTCTTCATTTTAGTATTTTTGGCAGCTACGGCGTACAATATTTGGAAAAAGAGAGGAAGTTTTGGCCTTTAAGAATTCATTTTTTATTTATCTTTTTAGGGAAAATCCCAGAAAAAGCCATTGGAATATACTAAATCCTAGATTGGGTCCTTAAATTTCGAAAATGACAGAATGGGTCATTGACCCAATCTGTCATTTGTGAAACTCAGGCGAATTGACATTTTTGCCCCTGAGCAAAAGTGAGTAGTTATTCTCTAAACAAATCTAGGTAACGCTTACACTGTTCTAATGATTACAAGATTCATTGTAGTTAATAATAAGATACCTGACAATAATAAGATACCTGACTATGAAAAAATGAATAGTTATTCTCTACACAAATCTAGGTAATGCTTACATTGTTCTAGTGATTACAGAATTAGTTGTAGTTAATAATAAGACACCTGACTATGAAAAAGTGATTAGTTATTCGCTATACGAATCTAGACAACACCTAAACTCTTATAGTGATTCCTTGAATCATTGTAGTGAATGAATAAATGAGGGCAAAATTGTCAATTCGCCTGAATTTCACAAATGACAGATTGGGTCAATGACCCATTCTGTCATTTTCGAAATTTAAAGACCCAATCTGACGTTTCTCATATTCTAAGGACTTTTTTTGGGATTTTCCCATCTTTTTATAACTTTTTCATTAAAAAAATCATTTTACGCGAAATGAAGAAAATTATGCCATTAAAGTTGGCGTAAATGTAATTTAGCACAAAAATAGACAAGTGATACGTTTAGGGAAGGATCAGGAAAAGTCGAAAGCAGGAATGGACTACCCCCCCCGGCAAACGTACAATATGGATAATAATCCAGCTCTGTCTCCCGGTTGACGTGTATCACACGCGCTTCCTCGTAATCTGGCACTAATTTTAATAACTTTTTAATTTTTCTTTTATTTAATACATTCACTTTAATTTTCAATACAATAAAGGTTTACACAAGTATAATAATAAGTGAAGCAAGAGTTGCACGTTTATATGGCCTTACAATTTATTAACTCATCCAGAGAACACGACTGGTCAAAGGCAATGGTCAAAGTTTTGGCGGTGGCCTGTGCCTGAAAAGATAAAATTTTTTATATGGCAAGTTTCCCAAGAGAGAGTGAGTACAAACTTACTTAGAGAAAAAAGGGGTTTAACCCAGTCAAATAGATGTCCCTTTGGATGCAATAGTGAGGAGAGCATACTACACACCCTGAGAGATTGTGTGAGGGCAAGAGAGGTGTGGGCATTTTTTATTAACCCTAACAAACAACATATATTTTTCTCTTGTGATTTACAGGTGTGGCTAAGGAGAAATGGGAGTCTAAATCCTAGTAAGGCTAGATTTCACCGGTGGCCGTGGACAAAAATTTTTGGGCATGCGTGTTGGATAATTTGGAAAGCGAGATGCAAACAAAGCTTCAATGGAGGGGCCCCTACGAGCTTAGAGATGCAACAGCAATGCCTCTTTCATATCATGGAGGAATTGGATTCAGGGATTTTATCCCACAGGTTAATCCAATGCAGTGAGAGAGCCTGGACTCCACCAAATAATGGGGAAATAAGGGTGGATGTTGATGCGTCGGTTCACCAATATGACCAAGCTGCATGTGGCGGCGTCATACGTGATGCCTCAGGAGAGTGGATTATGGGTTTTCAAAAGGCGATAGGAGTGTATCCGGTAGCAATAGCTGAAATATTAGCAATTAAAACAGGGCTGGAGGTCTGCAAACAATTTCACTTTAGCGATATTCACATATATTCAGATTCCTTGGAGGCTATTAATATGCTGTTACGAGACAGTGGAATCAATCATCCTTTCAGAGCAGAGATTGAAGAAACTAGAAAGCTCTTGTACGAGGAGTGGAAGGTGATCATCTCACATGCAAATAGAGAAAGTATTCATTGTGCAGACAGTATGGCTCGGAATGCCCAGATGACAAATCAGCAAATCTCCTTATATTCAGAAGTGCCAGCCTGGTGCAGGGAAGGTTTCTGGCGAGATAAAAGCTCAATGGCAAGGATTGGCCAAGGGATCTAACTGATGTATTCATTCTTCTCTTTTTTCAAGCTTTAGCTTGCCGTTTTGTACTCCAAAAAAAAAAGAGTTGCACGTTTATATAAAATCTTTAATAATATGACGTATAAATAGGATAAAAATATTTTCTTCTAAATAAGACTAGAAATGAGTAATTGACAAAATATTTTTTATTTTTTCTTCAAAATGTTTGGCATTGGATATTTATAAAGAAATTTTGAATTATGCTTTGACCTAAATTACTATAAGGCGTAAAGAACTTTTATATGCACACACGTGTGTATGCTTCTTCGTGTTCTTATGACAAGGCACGTTTTATAAAATTGATGGCTCAAAAGTAATTAAAGACTTCTTTTATTTTCATTATACCGTTTCTTGCGGCCAAGACAAGTGTTATAATTCTTACACGTGGATATATACATAATATATTGTGCGTAGGTAGACGAGTATTACATATAATGATGACACAGTGAACGAATTTTTTTTAATAAAGCTTCGACTTTCCTTGGCTCACAAGATTAATTCGAGAACAGACCGTGTCTGAAGCAAGTAAGGGTGCTGGTCTTAACGTTATCAGCGTAACTACAAGCATCAGGACACCGTGCCTTGAAACTTGAGGGGATTGGATGGGCGGGCATTTCTCTGGCGTGTTAAAATCTCCAGTGCAACAATACTGTGGCTCATTGGAAGCCAAGCACGCACTCTTGTAAGCAATAACTGTCCCATCCGACCCTATTACTTTTTAGCATGGAAAAAAAAACCGGACCGGACCGGCCGGTTCGACCGGAAAACCGGTGAACCGGTCTGCAGTCCGGTCTGGTTCAGGAGTTGAACCGGGATCCTATCGAACCGGTAAAGAACCGGTTGAACCGGTCATAACCGGTACAAAACCGGGTAATCCCGGTTCACTGGGTCAGCCGGTTCCGTTTAAAAAAAAAATTCCTTCTTCCTTTCCTAATTCCCTTTCCCGTCGACTTCCCCCTATTTCCCTCCCCCGAATCTGAATATCTGATTCCCCATTTCCTCTGGCTCGCAAAATAGCATCTCGCCTCCCTCCCTAAAACCAAAATCACCTCCTCCAAAATCCTTGCTCCCTGGCGTCACTGACAGCACAGCGATCTCCGGCAGAGCTCCTTGTTCGGCAGAGCTCCAAAATCGCAATCTCGCAAGTCTGATCTCCAGTCTCCCTCAACCATCTAAGCTTGTAAGTCTGAGGGTCTGAGCTCCAAAATGCAAAATCGCAATCATCGCAAGTTGCCGCAGGTCTAAGCCCCAAAATCGCTTCATCGCAAGTTAGCGTTCCCTTCGTCTTCGATGCATTAAGTTGTGTGTGGGTAAGCTCAAAAATTTTCCCTTTCAGCTGGATTGTGCCTTCTTTCTCTTTTGCTGTTGAACGAAAGGTTTGGGAAGGGAGGAGATAACCGGTTATTTCCTACGCTGCTGCGCATGTAAAGATTGTACCTAGGAAAAGTATCTTTTTTTCGTTTTTAATTTTAACAAGAGAAAAATCTTTAGTTGAGAGACAGAGGATATGATTTATGGCAAAAATATACTTGCCTTGTATTGGAATTTGGAACTGTAAGTAAATTAATGTTAAGGCATCGCAACAAATAAGCTTATAAACAGCATTCACCGTTCTTGCTTCTGCCCCCCCCCCTCAATCATAACTGATAGTACTTTTAAAGTTTTAAGATGGAGTCAACAAGATACATCGTATTCAATTGATGAGGAGTATATCCTTTACTGGTTGCATTTTTATCAACAAGATACATAATATTATGAATTAAATTATTTTATTTTAATATGACCGGTCCGACCCCGGTCCGACCTCGGTCCGACCAGTAACCCTTAACCCACTGTCTCAACCGGTTTAATACCCGGTCCGGTTTTTTGTTCCTTGCTTTTTAGTGGATCCGGGCACACCCGGTGCTGCCTTGTGGGGCTATGGACAGGGGCAAGTTGAATCCATCTACATTGCTCACAGCATAGAAATCTTGTCCACCGTTCGCTGCCACCGCGAGTTCTATCAGCGTCGACCCGGCGCCGTTGCAGCTGACTTTGACATCCCATCTCTGTTTTTCCCAATTTGCATTATTTTCCTTTTTTCCAAAAAAAAATACCACTGTTATTAACAATAATCAATATCAATAATATTATTATATCATGTCGGTGGTGCTTCCTGGAAGTTTCATTGACTCGTGTACGGACACCTAAGAACAACCCAACCAATTTCTCGCATCTCGCATCTCCTAATAACCCGCCCCCTTCATTCAACTCGTGCCGATATATCCCAAAAACATCCCCATCGTTCGCACTGTCGTCCATAGCATTCCTCTCCGCATCAACTTATTACGGTTCTTCTGTATATGCAGAGCAAGTAAACATTTTCTTTCGTGGAAGTCAATTACTAAATGCGTTATTTCAATTGCCGTAATTGAAGAATTATGGGAGCTTCCCGCTGTGGTATAAATCATATAATATGGATTCGTTGTATTTTAATAGCAGAATTAAGTTAGTTGTAGAAATACTACTACTCGCAATTTTATTCTCCGGACAAAATGGATCCGATAATTATCTGTAGAGGTCGAAGATGACATTTTAGAAATTAAGTGAGGAAACAGCACCGGGATGGCGTCCGTACCAAGAATTAGAATCTTTGGGTAATAAAATAATCCGATGATGGTGTATACCACTCGCTTCACAGACGCTGGGCCAGATCCACCGCCAAGTGCTTCCGTGACCGTGACCTTCTCTTCTTTTAATTAAAAAAATGATCAGGTCTTTTTAATACAGAGGAAGTTACAAATAAAGACCCCAAATATATAAAATTATGATTTGAGATTTTGAATTTAGAAAACAGCAAATAAGGAGTAGGTCCTACTTTTGTAAATATGAAATGTAGGTGAAATGTTTAAAATATCCCTCAGCCAAATTGTGATTTGGTCTGCTAAAATTATCATTTACTAAAGTAAACTTATAATTTTCATAATTAACTCGTCATTTCGCATACCCTCAGCTAAGTTTTGATCTGGTCTACTAAAGTTGTTATTCACTAAATTGCACTTGTCATTTCTCATAGTCAACTTATCATTTGGTTGAGAGGCATTTCACATATTTCACCTACATTTCATATTTGCAAAAGTGAGACTGGATTCTTATTTGCTATTTTCCAAATCCAGGATCTCAAATTGTAATTTTACATATTCAAGGGTTTGTATTTGTAGTTTTTCCTTTTAATAATGGTTTTTTGATGTAAAGTCAGAGTTTTTTATAAATTAATTTGTATGTAAGACTAACATTTATCAGGTCAAATACATTAAGATTAAAGTGCATGTTCTTAATAAATATATTTTTCAAAATTTGAACTTGTAATACTATCTCTAATTCTTAATATAAGATCTCATTTGACTTTATTTTAATCTTAAATATAAGACTCAAATATATTTTATCTTTCATACTTATTCTTTTTTTTAAGGTAATCTTTTTAATAATGATAGTTTTTACCAATACAGTTAATTAGTAAAGATATTTTAGAAAAGACAATACATATTTATTACAAATAATTAATTTAATTTATTTTTTTAACCTATTTAAATTAGTTAATTAATTCTACAGGAGGTAGCATCTTTCTTACGAACTGATAATGGTTTCAAGGGTGCTTGGAATGATAAGCAGACACCGACTGGAGGGATAGGGAAGGAAAGTGAGGGTGGGTGGGCGGAAAATGCTAACCCTACCCCGAGGAATTCTGCTTCCTTTTTCGTCATGCTCACCTCATTCAATGATGTCATATTTCCCCATCCTTTTCTTTATTCTCATTCGAATTAAAGTTAAAACACCCGCGATTTAACGAATCTATTATAACTCAATCCCAACTCAAAATGACACCAACCCACATAAACGTTGCGGTGGCACAAACAAATTTTCCGGACGTACTAGAGCATCTGGTCCGAGCCCAAAAGCGACCCGACCACGGAGGAGGCACGTCTGCTGAGCTAGTTGCTCCGCTCGCCAACCCGAATCCGGTCTTAGACAATTGAGGGTTTGGAGCTCCGGTTAGGGTTCCTGGCCACGCGGTGAAGGGGCTTGTTCGTAAAAGTAATCGTGGCTGCGATTCCTCCTGCACAAAACCCCGTCTTGCAGATCAATCTCCATATATATGTGTGTGTATTTATGTAACACTTGTCATTAAGTAAAATATAAATAAATCGGGTTGGGCATATAGATGCTCATCAGTTTCAAACTGACAAATGTCATGACTTCTCTAAAAATAAAGAAAAAATAGGAGCACTTTCTATGTATAAAACACTTATTATGCAAATGAGTATTGTACTTGCACATCAACTCCAGTTAACTGGAAATTTGCCAGTGTTGTGAATGCGGTGTATACACAAGCATGTGGGAGCTACATGAAAGGAAGGTGTATACACATTATTGATACATACTATAGAAGAGGAAGGGCAAAGTAAGGCATAACGCAACTCGAGTATTCATTGAGAGGTTTTTCTCTGTTTTGTTGAGCGACAGTTTCAAGTTTGTGAGGTACGATATAAACAGGCAGGGTTTTTGTCCTTTTTTTTTTTTTTTGGGAGTACGTGGGAAGCCCTGTACGTTGCTAATACCGGAAAATCTTTTTTTTTTTTTTGCTGGGCCACTGCTAATAATATCGGAAAATCTGTCAGGGATTAGAAGGATGAAAAACCAGCAACTGCGGTGTTAAATTCAGACAATAAATTGAGATGATTAAGCTCTATCAAACTATATCTGTTATATTTTCTATAAGAAAAATAGAAAAAACTTAAAAATATATATCCCTTCTGGGTTCAGTACGTATTATTTTTAAACTCAGATTTCTGTAAGGAATGGTATGAATGAATTTCTTAAGGATGATTTATCACAGTGTATAAAAAAAAAAAGAAAATACATGTATATCTTTTGTGTGTGTGAAATAGGGTCAAGCATTGTCTCCATTGAACTATTAAAATGCATATCTTTGCACAGTTGTCACGTGTATTCTCTGTTCATTTGGCTTTCTTTTTCTTTTGCCAGCTGTTTATTTGGCTTTTTAAATGATTGTGAAATACTACCTCTCGTCTTAATATAAAAGTTAGCGATTAATTTTAATATATTAAAAAAATTAATTTAGTTATTTATAATAAATTTGTATTATCTTTTATAAAATATCATTGCTAATTATGTGTATTATTAGATAGAACATTTAATAAGTGTAACTATTATAAATGACTATTTTTATAATAGTTATTGACGCATCAATTGTTAAGGATCAGAGGTAATATATTTTTATTGACGCATCAATTGTTAAAAAAAAAAGTTCATATGTTTAATTTCTTTATATAATTGTGATAGTACATATAGTACAGTTGACGGATAGCATGTGGAAAAATATACACATCTAGTCGATGGCTTCAAAGTTAGAATAGTTGCGTTCATGACCGTACCGTTGACAAATCATCAAATATCACTAATTATAACAACGACTTCCTTTGATTTTGTTCCCATCAAACTGTATTATTCCCATATACCTATATGATGAGTTCATCATATGTAATTGTGCACATATAGCACAATATCATCAAATCAAACTACATTATTATTCATCTGCATGCACACATAAGCGCATGTTATTACTGGACGTAGCAATTGCATAACTATTATCCCACACGGTGGAGGAGTAACGAAGCTCCGATTTTCCTTTGCTTAGGGGCAGAAAGTGATGGCGTAGTTAGGTCCGCCGTTGCAAGTAAAGGTGCCTTTGAGATCATCGTAAGCGTAACTGTAAGCTTGAGGGCACTGAGTGCTGAAAAACTGGGAGTAGGTGCTGGGTTTGCATGTGCTTGAACTGCTGTACTCTCCGGTGCAGCAATACTCAGGCTTGTTGAAAGCTACGCAAGCACTCTTGCACGCAATAACGTTCCCATCGGAGCCTGTTACTTTTAGGTCATTTGGGCACGCCGCGTTGATGTTCGCCTTGCAGCTTGACTCTTTGCAGTCGCCGGTGCCGCCTTGTGCAGCCATAGATATCGGCAAGTTGAACCCATCCACGTTACTCACGTCATAGAAATCCTGGCCACCGTTCGGTGCCACCGTAATTTCCGCCAAAGTTGCCGGTGTGGCTCCTCCTTTGCCACTGCACTCGACTTGACCGGAGCCACAATCTGCCGTGTCACAGTGAAAGTTGCCGGCGCCACCGGAGCATCCCGTCCGAGCCCAGAATCGGCCCGACCATGGTGAAGGGACGTCCACGGATCTAGATGCTCCACTCGTCAACTCGAATCCGGTTGTGGACAGTGCAGGGCTTGAACCTCCGTTTAAGGTTGCGGGCCATACCGTGAATTGGCAATTGTTCTTAAAACTAATGGTGATTGCATTTCCTCCTGCACAAAACCACGTCTCCCAGATTAATCGTCACATATAATATTCCTTCAATGCATGCATGCTTAATCATGATAAGCAAACTATATTGTGTGAATAAAAACGAACTAAAAACGGAGCTGGGCATATACATAGATGCTCAGTTTCAACAAATTAATTGATCATCATATATAATAACTTCAATTCGCTGAAAATTAAATAAGGAGGGGAAAGGGAGAGGAATGGAAAGACTCTATCTATGAAAACCCTTAGCCAATTAATGTGGTGAGTGTGGTATATATGTCATACCATGGAGGAGGACGGCCAGAGTAAGGCACAAAACAACTCGGGTATTCATGATAAGAGGTGCAGTGTATGTATTGGTGTGCTAAATTTGTGGTGTGTTTTGATGGGAGATATATGGCTCAAGTTCGGGGCTATATATATAGGCCGCGGCGCTTCGAATAGTGGAGATGGAAATTTAATATATCTTGCCGTGCACGTTGCGAACATTGAAAAAATAGCTGGTTTTCCAAACCGCCAATCATGGAAATGTCCCATTAATGATAATTTCATGTATTCCACTCAAAAAGGGGGCCGGCGAAACTACAGAGACATCTAGGTCAGGTGGTAACATTATACTACTTCCCATCTCATCCGATTCTAATTATAAGACCTCATATATTTAATTTGTAGAGAACGGAGGTAGTATTATACGCTACTGGAAATTCATCCCTGTCAATTAACATCGTCGTGATCTTTCCGTTTGCTGTTGCGCATATCATTTATCATCGAACAAATTGCTTTGGTTTCACCGTACGAGGCGTGTGTATATACACATGTATACACACACATATATGCTACTTTTCCACTTGCCATTTCAGCCGTTAGAGGGCTAGTGCTAATTTATATAATCTTCTAATTTTAAATATAAAACCCATTCTATAGTATTTATTTATAGTGCAAAGAAATAATATGTACTGGTAATAGTTAAGGGATAAATGTCAAGCACTGGAACTTCCTGACTGACTCCTGTAGATAGTCAATGATCTCGCCCTTCTGTCTTCCTCGATTTTTCCTTTCGGTGGGGTCTAAATTAATAATGCCAATTTATTGTTAGGCTTGATAATCCGTCTGATTCAACCACGGAAACTTAAACAAAGTTGGGCGACCGGCGGCTATATGTCTTTGCTGACTCCAATTACTTCTTCATTTAGTGGGGAAGGCTACCTGTGCTGGCAAGGCTAGGTGTGGTAGACTGGCAGCCGCGTCATATTATTTCAAGCTTGTAACCCACGAACCACGATATAATTAAAAGCTTCAAGTTGTCCCGGGTCATTCCCGTCACTAAGGAATTTCTGGCGTTATGTTGTGGAGATTACCGGACCGAGGTAGTTGCAGGTCCCTGACATGCTTCCTCAAAATTTTCAAACAATTTACACATTACCCATATACTCTCACGATCTTTGATATACAATGTATTTTGTATTACAATTTTACATTATAAAATAGGTCTTATATTTAGAATTAAAAGAATATATGTATGATTATTCAAAACACATCCGCGTGCCTGCTTAGGAGGCATTCCCCAATATATAAATTCATTTAATTTTATAAGTTATGTATAACTTCCATATAAAAATATAAGGAATGTTTGTAATATTAGTAAATGTTACTGCATGCCTATATGAATTTACTACCTCCGATCATAATTATAAAAATTAGTTGACTAGTTTGAGGAGATTAAGAAAATAAATTAAACTATTTATTTGTAACAAATAGGTGTTGTCTTTTCTAAAATATCCTTATTAATCAAGTATATTAGCTAGAACTACTATTGTTAGAAGGAGTACCTTAGGAAAAAATGCATAAATATGGGAGACAAAGTGGATTGGGATCTTATGTTTAGGATCAAAGTAAAAGTCAAACAAAATTTTATATTAAGGATCGGAGGTTGTATTATTTGTTTTAAATACAAGCCAATATGTTAATATACGATTTTATATTTTTCTGCCAGTGTCCAATAAAAATAGTTTGATCATTCGATGAATAAAGGAGATCTCCTTACAAAAATTAATCCAAGTCTTTTTTTCATAGTCAAAGACCAAATTACACTGCCATCAACCTGAAGAGTAAGTCAATATTGTGGGGCGGAAAAAAAAACTCTTCTTCATTTGTTTTTATTTTTCAGTGCTCTTTGAATCGAGCCCAACCGTCCTAGCATATGTATCTGGAAACATCAGCCCATATTTTCAAGTTTCAACCATTGCAGGCCCGGCCCAGCATATACAATCCGGCAACTAAAGGGGTGTTTGGATAGAAACCAAACCATGGTTTCAGAAGTGCTTTTACGGATTACGAAGTAAATATGTGGAGGAGATTACCTCGTTTTGCGGAAAAGTGCTTCTGAAACCATGGTTTTGGGTTTCCCAAACACCCCTTAAATGTTCTCGTTCTCTTTGTCTGTTTATTTTTCACTAGAGCCCCAACCAGTGATGATACGTGCATACGGGGTTTTGAAGTTTTGATTCATTTATTACAATTTGCTCCCCTGTCTCGTCCGTGGATATGAACCAGGTCCAATACTACTGATCATTGGCCAGCCTTAAGTAAGTTTTTATGAATCATGCATTTAACTTCTAAGCATTCTGCGAGAAATGATATATGATGTAACATATGGAGTGAGTATTCGAAGAGTCTAGTGGATAACTCGGTCTAATCACAGAATCTGGTGAACATAAAGCCAGATATTAGAATGAGCTAATTTCTATCTTAATGTACCTTCTGACTCTTAATATATAATCTAATTGTTGAGTTAAATTTGATCTTAAATGTTACATATTTCTTATATTTTTTAATTTATTTTTTTAATTTAAGCCTATGGATACTCTATTAACTACAATCAGGTAGGAGATGGAATGATATTATAAAAGATAATTATAGTGCTTATGTAAAAACATATCATATTTCTTATAATTAACTAACCTACATAATTTTCTTAATTTAATCAAATTAGTTTAAAAAGTTTTACATTAAATATGGGAAGAGTACTGAATATAACTCTTTTATTGCGTCTAAGATCAATGGCCACTGTTCTGCCAAAAATTGCCTGGCAAGATTCTTTGAGCATGTCGAAACATGTATGATCTCCCTGCGTTTGAATTTGAAGGAGTGACTTCTTAATAAAAATATTCTTTCGATCATAAATATAAGATTCATTTTATAGTATAATTTATATAAGTATTATATTTAGCATTGGAGGAGTAAAAAAAAGCTGTTGAAGAGTCCTGTTTAAAAAAAAAAATTGCTTAAAATTATTTGAGTTGAGGGATGTAATTCGTATCTCAGTGAGTGTGATTTTTTTTCCCAGACATATTTAAGGTATCTTCAGTTATGTACAAGCATGTTTTTGTCTAATACATAGTTAAGGATAAGTTGTATAAGGCTGAAGAAGAATTGCATCCATTGAAAATGAATTGCTAGTCCTTAAACAGATTTCAAATACTTTTAACGAATAAATATTTTAATTTGAATCTGTTCAGCATTTTTCCCAATATAATATCATATGGCCTCTAATCCTCAAATATAAAACTTCTCTCCATTTTATCCTCCAAATATATATATTTTAAAATATTCTTATTGACTAGACGTATGATAAATGTTTTCATCACGAGATTATTATAATGCACATAATTAAACAAGTTATTTTAGAAAAATTAACACACACTAATTTAATTAATTTTTTTAAATATTTTTAAACTAGTTATATAATTATTATAATGTAAAGTATAGAATGTATGGAAACACATTCAGAGGCTATAATCACGTCCGTGCATTCTTTTCTCTCTATTTTTTAAAAGCGCATGCTCTGTATTTGTTTTTCCTCTTATATCGTCAATGCACTTCCTGCTTTTTTACCAATAAAGCACAATTAAAGGAGGCTAGATTGCAAAGGCAGGTTAGTACGTAACCTAAGCAAGGCATTCCTTCATAGAGGAGGCTAGATCAGGGCTCCAAAAGTTGCATTAACCAAACTGTGCATAGCCGCATCTGGTTGGTTGTTGAGCGTTAAATAACTGGGCGGTATTAGTTGTTTTCAGTCGCTCAGTTTGATTATCAAATTTGTAAAGAGAGAAAGAAAAGAGATATTTGAAAATTATTTATAAATATGAAGGGAGGAAAAAAACTTTTATAAGCATAAATTAAAAAAATTGTCGGTCTATTTTTTGGTATACGAAAGCGCATCAGGCAAGTGATAAGGGATAACTTTAAAGATGACTTCTTTTCGAGTCCTTCAAAGCAAGCCATAATTCCCCCATTCCATGGACAGAAAAGTTTCGAACTTCTGTTTCACTTTTTCTTGTGGTACGCCATAATTCTACCATTCCATGAACAGTAAAGTTTTTAACTTCGGTTTTACTTTTTCTTGTGGTCCTTTTGTTTAAGCTGTTTTGATTTTTCACGTATAGTTCTGAGTTCTGACGAGTTTTATGCTAGGCTTTTGTCAGTTTCTGTCTGGGGCATGGCGCTGCTTCTTTTTTTTTTGGAGTAGGATGTTATCACTAACTCAGGGTATCTCAGCGTATCGGTCAGACTAATCCTAGGGTGTCTCGCCAGGAATTGAACCCATGACCCAGTAGGGGAACGCGCCTTGCGTCCCCGTTTGCGACCAGTCGGATCCAACCCTTGCAAGCAGCGCTGCTTCTTTTTTGAGCCGATCTGCCAACCTTGCTATTTTTCCCGGTGAGTTTTGGCTTTTTCTGGCAAGTCTTGTTACTTTTTATCTAGCCAAATGAACCTCTGGAATTGTTTGTTTTTCTAAAGACAGAAACATCAACTGCGTTGTGGGGACCCACTTTCCATTTTTAGAAAATCAAGGGCCTACTCGTCGTTTTGGCGCGTTCTATTCAATTTGTCTTTTATCAACCGTTAATCAGCCCCATCGATGAGCTAGACTAATTTAGTAAATATTTTTAATTATGGTTTATTTTCTATATTCATGTAAATATTTAATGATATGTATATCAATATTGGAATTTAATTATGATTAAATTTGGTTTGCAAAAGATTTTGATTAAATTTGAACGGTAGATAATTTGGCATTTTGATTTTGTGATATATACTTTAGTCGTGCGTATGATAAAATCGTATTCACATCACGTAGGAGAATGGGAAATTCAACCAAATTTCATATTTTAAACAACTAAAATTCTGATATAATTCAAATCCACCCAAGAAAATAAAATAATTATCAGTAAATCCAAATGATAAGGGAACAGTTGTTAACTTATTATTTACTACTATCTTTGATACTTAATATAAAAGCCATATAACTAATTTGAAGAGATTAAATAAATTAATTAAATAATTATCAGTAAGTCCTAACCGTAAGTGAGTAGTTGTTAACTTATTATTTACTACTATCTCCAGTACCTATTATAAAAGCTAGATAGCTAATTTGAGAAAATTAAAAAAATTAGTTAAACTAATTATTTATAACAAATGTGTGTTGACTTACTTAAATTATCTTTATTCAATCATTTACATTGAAACTATACCTAGGTGAAAATATCTTATAATTAATAGGAATATTTTTGAGAACACATTATAAATTTATGACTTTTTAATAATTATATTTTTTACTCGAGACTTCATAGCAATTATTTTAAAAAAAAAAGCTTATATTTTAATAATTGATTTTACAGAGAACCCATGAATTATAGGTTAATTAATATACTACTACCTTCGATTCTAATTATAAGAACTAGTCAAAGATTTAATTTAATTCTAAATATAAGACTTCAATCTACTTTGTTTTTCACATTTATTTATTTTTTTCTAAAAATAATTCATATGATAACTGCACATGCTAAAATGTTTTCACTATAATGCACATGATTAATAAGAATGTTTTAGTTAAAAAAAATATATTATTATAAATAAGTAATTTAACTAATTTTTTTAATATTATTAAATTTAGTTATTTATCTTTTATGTTAAGTATTGATTAAATCATGAGTATTTCAATTAACTGCGAATGCTGCTTAAATTTTGGCTGGTTGATATTGACAACTCCCTATAAATGTACTGTGTCTGTCATAACAGAACAATCGGAATTACATATAGGAAAAATCCACATAGGAAAAGTCTTCAATCTAGTTAACATTATCTTAAATTTTAATGGCATTTTAATTTTTCTTTTATTTAATACATTCACTTTAATTTTTAAGACAATAAAGGTTTACACAATGCAATAATAATTGAAGCACGAAATTGCACGTTCTTATAAAATCTTTAATAATATGATGTATAAATAGGATAAAAATATTTGCTTCTGAATAGGACTAGAAATGAGTAATTGACAAAATATTTTTTATTTTTTCTGCAAAATGTTTGGCATCGGATATATATAAAGAAATTTTGAATTACGCTTTGCGCTAAATTACTATAAGACGTGAAGAACTTTCATATACACACATGTATGTATGCTTCTTCGTGTTCTTATATGACAAGGCACGTTTTATAAAACTGATGGCTCAAAAGCAATTAAAGACTTCTTCCATTTTCATTGTATACCGTGTCTTGCGGCCAAAACATGTGTTATAATTCTTACATGTGCATATATATATATATATATATATATATATATATATATATATATACTCCTCCTGCCCTTAATATATCACCTGATTGTTAAGTTAATTTTGATCCTAAATATAAGATCTATTTCTCATATTTATCAGTTTTTTCTAAATTACCTTTACGGATACTCCCTCGACTATAATCAAATAAATAAGGGAAGGAGAATATTAAGAAAGATGATTATGGTATTTTAAGAAAAACATGTCATATTTCTTATAACTAACTAATTTATCTAACTTTTCTAATCTAATCAAATTAGTTAAATAAGTATTATATTAAGGATAGGAGAGTAATATATTGTGCATAGATGTACGAGCATAACATAATTATGACATAGCGAACGATTTTTTTTTCATAAAGCTTCGACTTCCTTGGCTCACAAGATTAATTCGAGGACAGACCGTGATGGCATAGTTGGGCTCGCTTCTTGCTGAAGCAAGTAAAGGTGCTGGTCTTATCATCATGAGCGTAACTATAAGCATCAGGACACTGTGTCTTGAAAACTTGAGAGTATTCGGTTGGGGGGGGGCATTTCCCTGGCGTGTTAAAATCTCCAGGGCAACGATACTGTGGCTCATTGAAAGCCAAGCATGCATCTATCACCCAATAACTGTCCCATCCGACCCGATTACTTTTAGTGGATCCGGGCACACCCTGTTGATGTTCGCCGGACACTTGAGACTTTGCAACCTCCGGTGCCGCCTTGTGGGGCTATGGACACGGTCAAGTTGAACCCGTCTACATTGCTCGCGTCATAGAAATGTTGTCCACCGGTCGCTGCCACCGTGAGTTCTATCAACGTTGCCGGTGGGATTGCCCCCTCGCCATTGCAGCTGACTTGACCGGAGCCACAGTCTGCGGTGGCACAAACAAATTTTCCGGAGGTACTAGAGCATCTGGTCCGAGCCCAAAAGCGATCCGACCACGGAGAAGGCACGTCTACTGAGCTAGTTGCTCCGCTCGCCAACCCGAATCCGGTCGTAGACAATGGAGGGTTGGGAGCTCCGGTTAGGGTTCCTGGCCACACGGTGAAGGGGCACTTGTTCGTAAAAGTAATTGCGGCTGCATTTCCTCCTGCACAAAACCACGTCTTGCAGATCAATCTCCGTGTGTGTGTGTGTATTTATATAACACTTGGCATCAAGTAAAATATATATAAATCGGGCTGGGCATACAGATGCTCATCAGTTTCAAACTGACAAATGTCATGGCTTCTCTAAAAATAAAGAAAAAATAGGAGCACTTTCCATGTATAAAACATTTATTATGCAAGTGAATATTGTACTTGTACATCAACTCCAATCAGCTGGAAATTTGCCAATGTTGTGAACACGGTGTATACACAAGGAAGGGAGCTACATGAAAGAAAGGTATATAGACATTATCGATATTTACCATAGAAGAGGAAGGGCGAAATAAGGGAAAACAACTCGGCTATTCATTGAGAGGATTTGCTCTGTTTTGATGAGAGACAGTTTCAAGTTTGTGAGGTACCGGTGTATATAGGCGGGGCTTTTGTACGTGGAATTAGGGGTGGGAATAGGCCAGGCCAGGCCAGGCTTCCCTCTTAACAGGCTAGGCCTATTTTGTAACAAACCAGCCTGAGCCTGGCTTGTGGCCTGTTAAAGGCTTTCTTTTCAGCCTAAGCCTGGCCTGACCTGAAGCCTGTTAAAAAGCCTACATTTTTTTCAAAAACTATTAACAGGCTAAAAATAGACCATATACACATAAATAAATTCAAAATTATCTAAAATACAACACAAAATCTAATATAATCTAATTAATCAACAATATAATACCAAATGAAACAAGGGAACAAGGTTCATCGCAATTACAATAATTTTGACCAAATAAAAGTATAGCCGTCCGCCCAATTTCTTCTTGTTTTTTTTTTCCTGACCAGCGTAGTTGCTTCTTGTTTGAACACCTTGAAAAGAAGAAATGAAATGTATAATATATTGACAATGAATCATAAAGCACATATTAGCAATTTAGCATATATCAGTTGAATGACCAAAAACATGCTTCTAGGAAAATGAGTAAGAAACCTGATAAATCAAAAGTTAACAAAAATATCCACAACACTAAAATTCCTAATTTTCTGTAGAAAAATTCTGATAAAATCTTGATCCAGTGGCACAATACAGGCTACTGTAGAATCTATAAACAAGGCGCGACTAAAAAGACAAGAAGAAGAACAATGAAAAATTATAAAACATAAGCACAGCACTGTATGATTAAAATTTTGATAAAATCTGTTACTCTCCATATATATTATACATATATTCGTGGCGGTGACTTCAGATTTCTCCCATATATATATATATATATATATATATGGGGGAATATACACATGGGACCTTGTGTGTGTGTGTTCATGGCGGCGACTTCTAATTTCAACGATTTCTTCCATGAATATATATAATCACATTCAGATTTCAGATTTCTGCCATGAATAATGAAATCATATCACCAGTCGATTGCTTTTATTTATTGGAATATGATGGACGAGAGAAAGTAGTGTTCTAGTTATCAAAGTTTAGTTTGTAACAAAAAGCTTACCCATTGACGACGTACCGAGCTAAATGAGGAGTGAAGAGGAGGAGAGATTAGGTCTAGAAATTGGGATAGTGTGCGAATGGCCGACCGCGGGAGCTCGGAGCTGAAGAGTGAACGACGGCAATGCCGTGGAACTGAACGACGCTGGTGAGACTTGGAGAATGGAGAACAAAGTCGAGACTGGAGATGGAGAGCTCGACTGCTTGAGTGGCGGCTAGAATGAGCTAAGGAGTTAAAAGATAGATAAGGAAAACCTAACGAACTAGGGCAGAGAAAATGTATTGAGGTTCTTTTTTGGCGAACTTTGGGTTTAAAATCGTAAATCTTGCACGACACTTCACAAACACACACGGTGAGGCAGTGGCTAGGTGACCACCATCTCACCTCCAGGTCACGGGTTCAAGGCGTCTTTTTGACAAATCTAAACATAAATACAAAATATTACAAAGGCATAACAAGCTCAGGCCGCCTGACAGGCTTTATAGGCTTTTTATAAGGCCTGAGCCTGGCCTATTAAGCGAAATAGGCTCTGAAAGAAGCCTGAGCCTGTGCCTATATTTTAACAGGCCTAGCCTGATCAGGCCAAAAATAGGCCAGGCCAGAGGTCCCTGACAGGCCGCCTGGCCTATTCCCACCCTTACGTGGAATGCCCCTGTACATTGCTAATACCGGAAAATCCTTTCTTCTTTTTTTTTGTTTGTTGGGCCGCTGCTAATAATATCGGAAAATCTGTTGGGGATAAGTAGTATGAAAAAATAGTTGTTATGTATTTGGAAGGTTGTGCATTAGATTAAAATAAATCCAACGATTTTTAAACTTTTCTGTTTCAGATTTTAATTTCCAACTGCGGTCTTAAATTTAGACTATAAATTGAGATGATTAAGCTCTATTAAACTACTCCTCCGGTCCTAATTATAAGACCCAATTGACTTATTTGAGGAGATTAAGGAAGTAAGTTAAGTTGGTTATTTATAATAAATAAGTGTTGTTATTCCTAAAATATCCTTGCTAATTAAGTATATTAGCTAAAACTATCATTATTAGAAGGATTATCTTGGAAAAAAATGCATAAATATAAAAGAGAAAATGGATTGGGTCTTATAATTAGGACCAAATAAAAAGTCAAATTGGGTCTTATAATAAGGACCGGAGGAGTATATACCTTATATTTTCTATAAGAAAAATAGAAAAAATTTAAAAGACATATCCCTTCTCGGTTCAGTACGTATTATTCTTAAACTTAGATTTCTGTAAGGAATGGCATGAATGAATTTCTTAAGGATGATTTATCACAGTGCATCAAAAAAAAAAAAAATCACATGTATATCTTTCGTGTGTTTGTGTGTGTGAAATAGGGGCAAGTATACTGAAATGCATCTCTTGGGACAGTTGTCACATGTATTCTCTGTTCATTTGGCTTCACCTTTTTGTTGCCAGCTGTTTATTTGGCTTTTTAAATGATTCTGAAATACTTAATCTAGTCTTAATACAAAAACTAATTGATTAATTTGAGTAGATTAAGAAAAGTAGTTAAGTTATTTATTTATAATAAATATATATTGTTTTTATTAAAATACTATTACTAATTATATGTATTAGCTAGAACATTAAACATGTGCAATTATTACAAGGATTACTTTTAAAAAAATAGATAAATATTATAAACAAAGTGTATTGAATTTTTATATTTAAGATCAAATTAAATGTTAAACTAATTCTTATATTAAATATCAGAGGCAGTATATTTTTATTGACACTTCAATTGTAAAAAAAAAAAAGGTTAACCTATACCTGTTTAATTTCTTTATATAATTGTGATACTCCTCCGGTCCTTAATATAGGACCCTTTTGACTATTTTGATTAAATTAAGGATGGTAGTTAAGTTAGGTAATAAATATAGATATCCCAAAATACCCTCGGTTTACACTTCTAAAAAGAAACTGACATTTGAAAATTCTAGAAGGGATTTTTTTTGGGTTAGCGAGAGGGTGTAACTGAATTCAATGTTTTGTTTCTGTTTCTTTATTTGTTTTTAATTTTCCTGTTTATAAGAAAAAATAATTAATTTTTTTTTCTTCAGGCAGGAACTTTTTCTGTTTGATTGGGTAAAATATAAATAGAAGATTATATTTTCTGGGCACAAAGAAAATAGATAGTATGATTATTATTATGCTATTCCTCGGAGGTAAAAAAATCCAATTACCTTGAATGGGTATTTGTATGAAATTTTTTTTTTTAAATGTTTAAATTATTTTATTAAAAATATAAAATGGTAGAATTGATGTATGTGTGGAATCAATAAGTAATAAGTATTCATTCACTTTATAAAATGTATAGGTGTATTATTAATGAATAATGAGTATTATTGTGGTATTTAATTATCTAATAGGGGTAATTTAGGAAAGAATGAAAAAATATGAGAAAGGGGTCCTATATTTAGGACCAAGATCAACCTTCCAATTGGGTCCTATATTAAGGACCGGAGGAGTAGTATATATATATATAGTTGATGGATAACATGTGGAAAAATATACACATCTAGTCGATGGCTTCAAAGTTAGAATAGCTGCGTTCATGAGCGTTGACAAATCATCAAATATCACTAATTATAAAAACGACTTACTTTGATTTTGTTCCCATGAAACTCTATTATTCCCATATACCAATATGATGAGTTCTTCACAAGCTCATGTAATTGTGCACATATAGCACAATATCATCAAACCAAACTACATTATTATTCATCTGCATGCACACATAAGCGCATGTTATTATTGGACATAGCAATTGCATAACTATTATCCCATGGTAGACGAGTAACGAAGCTCCGATTTTCCTATGCTTGGGGGCAGAAAGTGATGGCGTAGTTAGTTCCGCCGTTGCAAGTAAAGGTGCCTCTGATATCATCGTAAGCGAAACTCTAAGCTTCAGGACACTGACTGCTGAAAAACTGGGAGTAGTTGCTGGGTTTGCATGTGCTTGAACTGTTGTACTCTCCGGTGCAGCAATACTCAGGCTTGTTGAAAGCTGCGCAAGCACTCTTGCACGCAATAACGTTCCCATCGGAGTCTGTTACTTTTAGGTCACTTGGGCACGCCGCGTTGATGTTCGCCTTGCAGCTTGACTCTTTGCAGTCGCCGGTGCCGCCTTGTGGAGCCATAGATATCGGCAAGTTGAACCCATCCACGTTACTCACGTAATAGAAATCATGTCCAACGTTCGGTGCCACCGTAATTTCTACAAACGTTGCCGGTGTGGCTCCTCCTTTGCCGTTGCACTCGACGTGACCGGAGCCACAATCTGCGGTGTCACACTTAAAGTTGCCGGCGCCACCGGAGCATCCCGTCCGAGCCCAGAATCGGCCCGACCATGGTGAAGGGACATCCACGTCCCTAGATTCTCCAGTCGTCAACTCGAATCCGGTTGTGGACAGTGCAGGGCTTCCTGCGTTGTTTAAGGTTGCCGGCCATACCGTGAATTGGCAATTGTTCGTAAAACTAATTGTACCTCCTCCTGTACAAAACCAGGTCTCCCAGATTAATTGTCACATATAATATTCCTTCAATGCATGCATGCTTAATTATGATGAGCAAACTATATTATTTTAATAAAAACAAGCTAAAAATGGAGCTGGGCATTTATATATATA